ATGATCATGTGATCAAAATTTAGATGCTTGGCAACTGGTTCCTATTTATGACCATTGCTGTGACCCAATGTCATGTGATCACCTTTTGCAACCTTCTGACAAACAAAGTCAATGGGGAAGCCAGTTTCACTTAACAACCAGGATATTAACTTATCAACTTCTCAGTAGTTCACTTAACAATTGTAAGGTCGTGGAATGGGGCAAAACTCATTTAACAAATGTCTCACTTAACAACAGAAATTCTGGGCTCAGTTGTGGTCATAAGTCAAAAACCATTAAAGTGAGATTGAATTTCTGTCTCAACACTTTTCCTTCCCAGGATTCAATTGATATTTACTAAGCAGTTCTTGCATTCGTTCCTCAAAGCTATCTCCATAATCCACTACCAGTAAGTGGGCATCCCTAAATGCACTGAATCTATTTAAAGAAGGCTCAGCTCTCATAACTCTCGTAAGTGCTAGGTTTTTATCCTGGAAATTTGGAATACAAGATGATGCTTTAATCCCTGAGGTTTAGCTGCATAACCACATTTACACATTACCCCCCCCCCCCGGTGATTGTAGGCAGGCACACATTTGGACATAGAAAGCAAAAATAACTTTACTCCCTTCTTTAAAAATAACTGGACTAGTTCAGGACAGGGGTCCATTTGTCTAGGCCTTGGTTAGTCACCACTTAAACATCGTCAACTCTGTATGATGGTAGAAGAGCTGCATCCAGTGAACAAAAGAAGTTGGCAACTCTGATCAGTCAAGCAAGCAAGTGTCCTTCATTACCAACCATTTCTGGGTCTTAGTATGCCCTCTTAACTTGGCTTTCCTAGATTTTGTATCTCAGGTGGACTCCTAATCCCAAAATGATTGCAGGATTATGGGACTAGAAGTCAAGAGCGCCAATATGGAGAAGGCTGATTTGGAATTAGCTGCAGGGAGGCTGAAGAAAAATCAGAGCAGCTTGAGTTGAGTGAGCCAATTTGGGCAAGTCCCTGTTTTTTCTTCCTATTCAGCCTTTCCTTTGCTTGCTTCCCCAGCTGAGATTCAATTTGCTGCACCCTGGCAGCTCTTTATTGAGCCCATGTAGAAGCTCGGCCCAGTCTTCACTCATAGCTTCCCCCTCCTTGCCTACAAAATGCCGAGACAGGATGAGGCGTGCCAGGCACTGGGTGAGGTAGATCCCAGTGTACCAACCAAGACCTGCCCGCCTTGGTGGATATTCCTTCCCTCAGGTAGTTGGTTGGGTTGGGTGGGGTGGGGAAGGCCATGGAATGCAGCTCGACTGCTTTGGGGTGTGCAGGGAGCCGGCCTTGACACGCGCCTCCAGCTGCTTGGCTCGTGGCTCCCTCAGGCCAGGACTCGTGGGCCCCACCTCTCCCCTTTAACCCTGGAGACGCCAGATCCTACTACCAATCCCTGAGTTTCACAGCTAGTTATGGTGGGATTTTTGCATAAACAGCACCCCCCATCCAGAGCAGCCCATTCTTACCATTTACATAGGGAGATTAAACTCTAAAGCAGGACTAGCTCAATTAAAATTTGTCAGTGGATAGCCTTAGGCCACCTGCTGGCTCTCAGCCCCTTAAACTCAAAATAGAGATAATAAGGTATCTGCTTAATAGACTGCCCCTGTCTCAAGGAGGCTTATGCAGGTGTGTATAAAATAGAACTATGGCCATCCATATGTGTAAAAATGCAAATTTGGAAATGTATATTATATAATGGACAGAAACACAGTGCATCCCATCAAAATGGGAAAGATTGGCCAGCTTACAACCAGAGCCTCCTTGTTGGGAAGGACCATCAATTTTCCCTCCCCCAGCTCCAAATTAAAGCCCCCTCCCCAGACACATGGCTGTCTAGTCCTTGTTTGAACACATCCCAGAAGGCGAGTCGACCCCCCCATAATTAATTCCACAGTAAACCTATTCACAATGTTAGGCCGTCTTCTAATTGAAATCCTTTATTCCATGTCCTGCCCTCTGGAACAAGAGAGAACAGGTCTTACTTTTCTTCTCTGTGACATCTTTTGCTTTTAACTATGTAAAGAATGCTTTCTATTCCCCTCTCAGTCCTCTCTGCTCAAGGCTTAGCATATCCAGCTCCCTCAATCGTTCTTCACTTCATTTCTTGTTCTGTGGTCACTTCTGTAAGGCACCAAACCAGACTGTACACGAGCAGAATAAAATGAAAATATTTGCTGCCTGTGATGCTGCTTGATGCTGTCTGAATTCTGCATTGCCTTCATCTGTAGCTAAATCACATTGCTAACTCATTCTAATTAATTGGGCCATTCAACAATCTGGATCTGAAGAGGAAATGGTGTTTCAGAGGACACAAGAACTAAGGAGAAATTTTCTGACAGTTAGAACAATTAACCAATTGGAACAACCTGCCTCCAGAAGCGGTGAATGCTCCAACACTGGAAGTTTTTAAGAAGAGACTGGACAGCCATTTGTCTGAAATGGTAGAGGGTTTCCTGCCTGAGCAGGGGGTTGGACTAGATGACCACCAACTTTATTATTATTATCGATCATCGCACAGTCAGCCAGATGTTCAGACTGGATTTGGCATTTCGTCTACCTATCGAGTCCTTACCCAGGACCTGGGATAGGCAGATGTGGATGTTTGATGGTATTACAGATATCGTCGCAGGATGGACGCAGTTCCTAATAAGGCCGCCTTTTGCAATTGACTAATAGCGAATTTGTCAATGCCAATGGTGTTCAAGTGGTGCTCCAGTTGTTTTGGGATTGCACCCAAGGCGCCTATGACTATTGGTACTACCCTTGCTTGCTTTTGCCACAGTCTTTCTATTTCTATTTGTAGGTCTTTGTATTTTGTTATCTTATTATTATTATTATTATTATTATTATTATTATTATTATTATTACTACTACTACTATTACTACTACTATTAAGAACCTTTGGGAAGCATCCCTCAGACTTAAATTCATTCTTTCCAGGAACCATAGAAAAATGTGAATTATGTAGGCAGCTGTGAAGAGGACAATATCCCCTATTTGCTTTGAGATTTTTTTTCACAAGTACCATTATAAAACCAGATAGTCCTCACAAACAAAAACATAGACACGTAGAACACAAGATTTTGCTTTCTCACTGAAGAACCTGCGTTTGTCACTGTTAAAATTCATGTTGCTATTTTCACTTCTTTTCTCTAACTGATCAAATTCTTGTGAAACTGAGTTTTGTCTTCTAGTGTATGAGCTACTCCACCCATTTGCAGACATGCTAAACCTTTCCTCCACCTCTTTATCTAGGCTGTGTTCTTGTTCAGTCAGCAAACCAGATGTTCATTTTGGATGAGCAAATTCGAAGCACCTCCTTAGAATTCGTTGCCTTTCAACTAAAGTAGGCAGCCTTTCAGACAAAGGGATAAAGTGCTGTGGAAAAGAGAACCTTTGGCAAGCCTAATGCACGCTCGGCTTTGCTACCCATCAGGATTTGCTGGGAAAGATTTAAGCTACCGCATCTGAAGCACTGTTAAATTCTAAAATAGGATTTTCCAACCTTGCGCCTCTCACATGTACCGGATTTAAGTTCCCAGGATGCTCAGTTAGCATGACAAGCTACAATCCATCTAGAGAATTATTGAATTGGTTGAAGTCCAACACATTTGGAGGGCATCAAATTGGGAAAGTTTTCTTTAAAACAGAGTGTATATCTGAGCTTCTCCAAAATCAATTTAGGAAGTTTCTCCAAGCATCCTCCATTCCCATCAGACCTCTGTCCACTTCTTATTCCAAACTCTTCCACATCCCTCGACTTCAGAAATAAACATGTGCACACGTGCATACATGCATTTGCATAGCCCAGTGTTTCCCAAACTTGACAATTTTAAGGCATGTGGACTTCAACTCCCAGAATTCCACAGCCAGCGTTGCTGGCTGTGGAATTCTGGGAGTTGAAGTCCTCATGCCTTAAAATTGTCAAGTTTGGGAAACACTGGCATAGCCAAATGCACACACATGCATGCAGATAACCACATGCATACAGGTGCGAGAATGCGTGCACACATACACACACTCGTTGCTTGTTGCCCAGTCCAACTGAAGATGCATGAATGTTTGTTACCCAGATTTCGTGTCATTTTAAACAGAATCTATAGCTTGTGCCAGAAAGCTTTCCAGGAGGTATCCCATGTCAAACTAACAATCCTCTCATCTTTCTCCCACTCTCTAAGCCTGTTGACATTCTCATGCATGAAAATCCTGAATAACAATTCTCTCATTTCTTGACTTATACCAGTAAGGTATCCTTCCAACCAACAGCTTTCCTTTTTTCCACTGGTCTTTTCAGGATCTTGGGGGCAGGGGAAGTAAAGGAGCCCCCCCCCTTCCAAATTCAAAATGTAGGTTAGTATTTGAAATAATCATGTGGACCAGTCCATTTGATTAGTTGATTAATGACTCTTGAATTCTTCAAAAGAGCTCACATTTTCTACTTATCATTCTTTAAAAAAGAAAGCAATATTTTAAAAAATGAAATTAAGCTGCTGCAAAATTACCCGGTTCTATTCTGTTTTACTGTATTATCGGTGTATGGGTAAGGCCATGAAAAAAATAAAAAATAAAAAAAGTTATCAGCACCACCAAAACTAGATTAGCAAGTCTTCCCCAAAATAATAGAGCTCTTCTGACAGTTCCTTTCTTCTCTTTGTTCCTGTCAGCAATGAATTTCTAAATGCAGATCATTTCTCTGAAATTGATCACATGTTCCCTAATAGAGCCAATATTTCCTACTCCTTTTGGACCCCCACCATGCCTGCCTCTGCCTTTTACTTCCATTCCAACCCCGCCCTACACACACACACACACACACATACACACACACACACACACACACACACACACACACACACACACCCCGCAAGGGAATGGCACAATCCAGGCACACGCACTTGCCCGGAGGGGGCTAAGAGGCTTGGAGAGGCGTGTGTCGGGCCTGTTGTGACTGGCCAACTGAAGCCCCACCCCCTTCAGAGGCACACTCCAGAAGTTCAAGAAGGGAAGTGGCATGCGCTGCAAGGGTGTGACTTTTGTGAAAGAACAGCCTGCAGGGCCCAGGCAGTTGGTCATCCCTTCCCTTCTCTGAAGAAAGGGGACACTTTCAATGCAGGAAGAGTAGGAGGAAAGAGAGAGAAAGAAAGATTTAGGGCTGACATTCCCCAAGTCCCTGCTTCGTGAGCATAAGAAGGCCTGAAACATTTAGATTCTGGGGACCACCTCCTGGATACCCCCATTCTGAAGCAGAGTTGATATTTTTTGCAATTGTCTGGGGTCAGCATCTATCCTGTGGGGACAGTCCCTTCATCCAGCAGTGATGGCCTTGGCTGATTTTCATTACACCACAGGGATCAGCAGTGGATTCAAAGTCTATATCTTGGAAGGTGAGCATTTGAAAACCTTTTTCCCCCCTGTCTTCTTCTATGGTGCTTGGCGATTTTCAGGCTTTGATTGAATAGTTCAGGATTGAACTGGCATCTGCTCAGGGGCCAAAAACTGCTATGAGGGAGGGGTGTGGGAGACTTTTATTAATTGAAGAGTAAGAGCCATCAGAATCTGTCAGTTCCAATGTCCAGCCTTCTCCTTAATTCCCGGAGGGCACTGGGGTAGAATGATTCAAGCATGTGTGCATTTCACTGAATCTGGGTGATCCAGTCCCGAGGATCAATCAGATCAGGAAAGTCCAGTTTGAATGGGAAGAGCTTCTTTGCAGCAGCTGCTGTTACTCCTGCAGAAGACAGCTTGACAATCTCCTGAGGGCATGAAAATTCATTCATGAGGCTCCAGTTGACCAGGGGCCTTCTTGGACCAGCATTCCACCTTTCTATCACCCCTGTTCCTTCCCAGGACCAACTGCTATCCTACTTAAAATACTATCCGTTGCCACCCAAACCTGTCTCCTTCCACCAAAGCAACCAAATCCACTCTCCATCTCACTCCATTTTGTCTTTTTTTGTTGTTGTTGTTGTTCACCCTCTAAGCTGAAATAATCAGCGTTGGAAATGCAACAGCCTCCAGTGCACAATCCAAATTTTAATAGGTTTGCTTTCGTTAATACTGATTTTTTTTTCAACCTCATTGTATTCACTTTTTGGAGCTCCAACTTCTTTGTCACCTCGGTGTTGTAATCAGTCCCATGGGTTGCCTTGTGCAGGGCTAACATTTGAATTGGAAGCTCGTTGAGCGAGAACACGTAATACTATATTTAGCAGAAAGAAAGAAGTGTTTTCCCTAAGGAATTTATTTTCAAATTGGGAGAATTTGCTTAGATTCCCTAAGATATGGCCATGAAAACAAATGAATGGGGGGGGGAGAGTTTTCTGTGTAAAATTTCCTTTTGATATGGGTTGAGAAAGTGTTAATAATTTAAATTCAGAGTGGTCTTTCTTTGCTGTTGCTGTGGTTCTTATTTACTCTTTATGAAAATAATGATTTGGGGGATCCTCATTGTGGAATGAAAGCACTCAGATTTAGCATCTGTAGAAGGGAAACCAAGTATTGAAGAATCTCACCGTTCAAGTCATGCACAAGCGAGCACCAAGTGAAGATCTTGCAGCACACCATGTTTTGTTTGTGGACTTCAACCTCTATGTCAGGGGTTCTCAACCTTGGCAACTTTAAGACTTGTGGACTTCAACTCCCAGAATTCCTCAGCCAGCTTTGCTGGCTGAGGAATTCTGGGAGTTGAAGTCCACAAGTCTTAAAGTTGCCAAGGTTGAGAACCCTTGCAGTCTATGGCTACAAAGGGCTCTTCCAAAATTACTCTTTTTCTTTCTCCAAATTTCGACCAACCAAGGCCCCTAATTCTTTGAAACAAAGGAAATCTGGCTTGCAAATTGGCCAAAGTTCACCGCTAATTAGCAAATCCCAGATGTAAAAATGCAGGTCCTGATGCGCCTCTTATAAATGTGTGTCAAACGCCATACCAAACCTGTCTGAACAGGAATCATTCATCACAGCCATTATGCCACCTACTTTAATAAGGGTAGGAGAGTTCAGCTTAAACATCTTCCCGGAGGGGCAATTTAGAAATTCAGGGAAAGTGTATGCCTCAGCCTGCCAAGAAAAGCATTAGATCTCCTTAGCATGCAGGTGAGGAAGGCTACCTGCCTGAACAAACCAAGGGTTATACCAGTGGACCATATCCAAACAAACAAGGAAGAACCAGGAGGCATCAATTAAGTACTTTTTTGATGTTCCATATGTATGCTACGGGTCATATAAACCTATAACATCTGCGTTTATGACTCATCTCCATTCCTTTGGATGCCATAGCAATGTGGAGTTCTGCAATTCCGATGCCATGTATTCAAATTGCCTAATTCTGCACATGCTGCATGCCCACCCTGGGCAATGTTGCGGGTTAAGTGGCAAAATCATGACATTTCTCCCAAGGCATGATTTCAATCAGTCTGGCAATATTGCCTATATCAGAGAGAAGTATTTAGGTGATCTTGGCTGATCCATGAAAGCTAACCGAGCTTGGAACTGGTTGGTATTTGGATGGGAGACCAAAAGGAAATCCCAAGATTATAGACTGGACTGGGAAATCAGAAAAAAAAAACATTGTAAACGAAGGCAATAGTGAATTACAGTACTTACATACTATAGTCAAGAAAATTACATGGACATGCTCATATAGTCATATCATAATAATTTTTTTATCATACCATACCATAGCACAGCAATCCCCAACCTTTGCAGCCTGGTGGGCTGGTTGGGAGGGAAGAGGGGAACCCCGAGCTATGTGAGCAGCGGGCTGGTGCACACACACACGCAGCTCCACTAGCGCGAGCAGTGGGCTGGCGTGCCTGTCCATGTACACCAGCCCACCTCTCAAGCGGCCTGGTTTTGAATAAGCCACAGTCCAGTAGTGGGCCACGGCCTGGGGATTGGGGACCCCTGCCATAGAACACCATACTGTTATCATTGTTAGATACTGGGAACAGGGCAGAAAAGTTGGAAAAGTCATGTCTTGCCTAATTCTACACAAATCAAAGACATGATTTGAACTCTGGAGGGGATAGAATTTCTAGTTCACAGCTGGAACTTGAGGAGAGTTTAAACTGACAGGGAATATTGAAAAAGTCTGAACTGAATTAAAGTTAGATGCACTCTGGATGAAAACGGGGACCTGCGAATCAATTTGGTGTAGTCTGGCCCTTACAACATTGTCAGGAAACTTAGTAAAGGTGATGGCAATCATCCTTGATTAGCTAAGATAGCCTCAACAAAGAAGGGGAGGGAATCTATGACAGTTTTATGAAATGTCTATTCCAGAAATAATAGGACCTCTGGGAATAGGGACAGGTGGTACATTAGGAATAGCTCCCTTCCATGGCACAATCTGACATTTTTTGTTTCCCGCACACCCAGTTCAACACCTAATGTCAAAAGCAATAAATGCCAAAAGTACTTGCTTTCCTTTGACAGGAACTGAAATGAAATGATATCCATTTGTTAGTTTTGACACTATTTCATTCTCCAGTGCTGCTTGGGAAATCAAATGTTTCAGGGGAAGGTTTTTTCTATGCAGCTGCCTGCTTCAAATTCCCCAAAGTCCATGCGAACCTGTCTTCCCATTGTTTTCCTATTATTTTCTCTTACCAGAAAAAAAAAATGAAAGAGAAAAAGGTGTTGCTGAAAGGCTTTTTTTCTATGATCTATCTATCTATCTATCTATCTATCTATCTATCTATCTATCTATCTATCTATCTATGTATCTCTATCTATCTATCTATCTATCTATCTATCTATCTATCTATCTATCTATCATCTATCTATATCAGCGGTTCTCAACCTATGGGTCGCGACCCCATTTGGGGTCGATCGACCATTTTTCGGGGGTCACCAAAGAAGGCGATCTGCCATTTTCTCCCCTCAGGGGGCGGCGCCGCGCATGCGTGCCACGCTGCGCATGCGCAGAACGTTTGTGTGACGGGGGTCGCCATCACACAAACGTTGAGAACCGCTGATCTATATGTATATATATATGTGTGTGTGTGTGTGTGTGTGTGTGTGTGTGTGTATTTCTTGATATGGTAAAAATACAAGAGAAAAATCATAACTGAAAGAAAATAATGAATAATGAAATAATGAATGAATAACGAAAGAGAAAAAAGTGGAGTTGCTGAAAGGCTTTTTTCCCCTGTGATAGATAGATAGATAGATAGATAGATAGATAGATAGATAGATAGATAGATAGATAGATAGATAGATAGATAGATAATTTTATTTCTTGACATGGTAAAAATACAGGAGAAAAATAATAACTGAAGAAGACTCTCCTATCTAGAAGAACCCACAAATCTTTAACCAAGCAGACTATTTTTTTTAAGCCATAATATATCAGTGCCAAACATGGTCTTTTCAAACAATGGGTGACATTCGTAACATCAACTGAAGGTTTAAAAACACAACCCAGAAGTTCCAATTTAGCGCTTGCTTGCAGCCTTCTCTAGCACTGAAATACAACCTCCATCCCCCCCCCCCCACCAAGTTTTCTCCACTTTTCTCAGCTGCCCTCCTGTTTCCTCTTGCCAGGCCACTCTTCCTTTGAGAACCAGCAGAGGTTCCACCCCCTCCCACCCTACCGGCTGCCCACGTGTCCCATCAAGCGCAAGGCCAGCCTTGATGGGAGAAGAATTCCTGAGGGTCAGAAGGCATCCAAAGCCAGGCGATTGTCATGCCTGCCTGTTGCCGCGTGAGTATACTTTAGTTGCACAGTAGGGGGCAGTGCAGCCCTAAGAGAAAATCCGACCCAGGGACTGAATCTTGGTGTTGAAGTCCCAAAGGTGCTTTTTCAGGACAACCATGACCTGGATGATGAGAATCTCACTGAAGAATGACAAGCCTTTGGGGAAGCTTAGGGGTTCTATTCTATTTTCTGTGTATAACGATCCTGCGAGGTAGCTCAGTGGTATCACTTCTATATTGCATAGAGAGGACAAAGAGGGACTTAATGCAACATGTGCCTTTGATTATAAGGTGGGGGGAACACCATAGGAGGAAAAATACATAAAGAAGCATACCTATTTTGAGAGTTGCCTATTGGAGTTTGCAAGAACAGTACAAAATTTAGGGTAAAAATGTTCTGGCTTATAGCTCAGCTTTTCACCCAAGAGCTGAAATCTCCTGTTGGGAACACAGTTTTATTCTGTGTTTATTTTCTATCCCTAGAAACTTTTTTCCACCTATAGCAGCATTAACTCTAGGGAGGTCTCTCTCATCCTCTTACATGAAGACACACGCAGATGGTCCTCAACTTGTGACCACAACTGAGTCCCAAAATTTATGTTGCTAAATGAGAAATTTGTTAAGTGAGTTTTGCCCCATTTTACAATTTTTTTTGCCACGTTTGTTAAGTGAATCACTGCAGTTGTTAAATTAATAACACAGTTGTTAAGTGAATCTGGTTTCCCCATTGACTTTGCTTTTCAGAGAGTTGCCAAAGGGACACTGAATCTGTCGTAAAGATGAGTCAGCGGTCAATCATCCAAATGTAAATCATGTGACTATGGGGATGCTGCAACAGTCATAAGAGTGAAAAATGGTCATAAGTCACTGTTTTCCGTGCCATTGTAACTTCAAATGGTCACTAAAAGAACTGTTGAAAGTCGAGGACTACCTGCACTCCGTTTTATGCCAGTCACATCACAACCTGCCAACGTATGGCCTTGTCATTTCAAGCTGCTCCTGGCTCCTCAGGACAGTTTTAATTTTCTTCTCCTTCCTCAAAGAGATACTCCTGTTTTAAGAGGTTTCTTTCTTTAGGCAGTGACTTCAGACCTGGCTTTGTTCTAGTTTTTTTCGTTTATCTGAAAAGCAGAATTCCTGGAGAAACCCTAGAAAAAGTCCAAATGATGGGTTTCCAGATGTCAGCTAGAATTTTTTTCACCCTCTCCTTCATTCCATAGCTGCTAGGATGGATAAGTGCCAGTGAATAAATTCCCCTGTGAACATGTCTCCAAACGGTGGGTCAAAATCCACACATCCTTTCAGAAAAAACAGAAGCGGGTTGAAGGTATTCTTTGCCCAAAGGACCCACTTTAGCAAACCTGACATTATTATTTTTTTTTTCAAAAGTTTAAAATTCTAGTTTCCAATTGATATATGGTCGTTGTCTAGAGGCAAATGTTTCCAATTTAATAACATTCCAGTTTAAATGGCACACTGTGAATTTTAAATCCGGTTGCACTGGGTGAGTCATTAATCTCTGAACTTCAATTTCTCATGAATAATATAAAAGATTAAAATATATAGGCTATCTTAGATCCATTTCACTTCTGTTTATATTAAATTAATGGGGGGAAAAGAGACCGACCAGTTGGATATGAGCCATATGTTAAGCTGGAAAACTATTCTGGGAACTGCTTCAAGGACTGAGGGGCTTATCTTATCTTAAAGCAGAAAAGCACACCTTGAAATTCCACAGCCTATCTAAAAAAGGCCATAAATGGATGCTTTCTTAAGGTGACACAAAAAAGAACATGATTAAATATAATAAATCTTAAATCAAATTTAATATTTGTCCTGGTCTGGTCCACATTTTTAGACCTAGCTACCCTCCTTACCTTTTCGACCGTCACACCAAGTGCAGAAGGTGGTGTAATATCCGCACACGCACAACCCAGAGGTCGGTATCCATACATTACATGCCTCTTCCTGTTCTAGAAGTTACATTCCAAAAATATATAAATCATCCCTGGAACAATGAGTAAGCCATTACTGGAAGGAGCTGGGGGTGTGAAGAGAGGAAACAGGCCTGTCTGTTTTGAATATCATCCCTATCTCTGTTTAAAAGGTAGCAATCGTATCAAAGCACAGAGCCATAATCTAAGATCTTTTGTCCATGATTTCCTTTGTTGATGCACAAAGTGACCTATCCTATCTTGTGTCTGAAATAATAAACTGAGGTGTCTTCCCTCCACATTTTTATTTATCTACTTATTAGTACTATTTTGATAAATAACTCAATAGCAATGAACATACCTAATGTTCCATCCTCCTCCTATTCCCCCCCCAACAACAACCCTGTGAGGCGGGCTGGACTGAAAGAAAGGAGTTGGCCCAAAATCATCCAGTGGCCTTTCACACCTAGGGCAGGATTAGAACTCAATAGCTCGTGGGGTAGGCAACCTTGGCTCTTTTATGACTCATGGACTTCAACTCCCAGAATTCCTGAGCCAGCCATGCTGAGGGGAAAGAGAGAGTTTCCAAGCTGAGCCAGGCTGGCTCAGGAATTCTGGGAATTGAAGTCCACGAGTCATAAAAGAGCCAAGGTTGCCTATCCCTGAGTCCAAATATTTTATCTTCACTGTGGTGCGGTGTGGTGCTACATCAAAGAGAAGTCTTTCCTGCAGCTGTGGGATGAAAGACTTCTCTTTAATCTACCAACGTTAAGCTGCACGATGAGGCCTCCTTGGTGTTAGACCTTGGTACGGATATGACACTCTGCACGTGGCTCAGAAGCACTTTATTACTACTACTCAAGCGATGAGACTGACCCTAAAGTCACAGAACAGACTCCCCCAACCGATCTGATACCGTCTGGTTTATAGGTTCTAAAAACCCGGTAATCATCCCAGTTGTACCCTCTCCGTCATTTCCGGAGCTCTCCGGTTGGAAAAAGCTTAACCAATTTGTTTATTTTTCTCTCTTGCAATCACCCTTCCTCTGAGTTTGGAAGGGTGGGGAGAAGGGGGGGCTATGGGAAAGATGCAATTAATCCCGCTCGGTGAAGCCTAGAAAGCCTCCCTGCTGATGAGTGACAGTTTCTCTGTGTGTGTCTCTCTCTCTCCCTCTCCAGCTCTCTGGAGCAGGTGGCCCCTCCTGCAGCCGTCCCCGTGGCCCCCATTGCCGTGTCCTGCGTCTCCACTTCCAGCGCTGTTACTTGCAGGGATTCCCGGGGGCTTCTCCCCTCCTGTGCACAGAAACGCCCCCCAAGGGCGCCCCTCTCAGAGCCCGCCCTCACAATCGCCCAGCTGCAGCAGGTAAGTCGGCTCAGTGCCCCCCCCCTTTTTTTTTTTGCACCGCTCCTCTTTCTGACTCCTCACATCCTTCTCTGGCTTGCTCTTTCAGATGCGACCGTCGGTCATCACCTGTGCCCCGCGTCGGAGCTGCCCGGAGGCGCCGCCAAGTCCCAGCTCCCCAGTAAGTCTCTTCCCGTTTCCCCACTCGCGCTTCCTTTCGTTCCTTTGAGCCCTGCGACACCATGTCTCCATTACCGACTGGGAGTTCCCACCCTGCAAAGGGACCGGGGAAGCGCCATCTCTGGTGGGGACAGCTGGAGCATTTTTGGTTGCTGAGCACTTGAGTTGCGATCACTAGACAGCAGAGATGCTACCACGGCTGCAACTACAAGGACTTTCATGAGTCCCCCCTCATCCAGCACTGTTGTGACTTTGAGCCCTTGGATCACCAAATCTTGCAAGTCCTCGACTTAAGACCACAACTGAGCCCAAAATTTCTCTTGTTAAGTGAGACATTAGTTAAGCGAGTTTTGCCCCACTTTGCAATCTTTTGGCTTCCTCCCATTGACATTGCTGGTCAGAAGGTTGCAAAGGCTAATTACATGACCTTGGGACACAGCAACGGTCGTAAGTACAAACCGGTTGCCACACATCTGAATTCTGATCACATGACTCTGGGGGTGTTGCAAAGGTCGTCACTGTGAAAAACGGTCATAAGTCATTTTTCAGGGCCGTTGTAACGTTGAACAGTCACTAAATGAAGTGTTGTAAGTTTGAGGACTACCTGTATACCCCTCCTTATAGTTCAGTGAATTAAGGAGTCATCTGGTATTTGCCTGACTTCCAAAAGTTGCCTCTTTTTTCTGGACTGGAAAAAAAAATTTCAGCCCCTTTTAACAACAGCAACAGCACTTAGACTTATATACCGCTTCATCAAGCTTTACAGCACTCTCTAAGCGGTTTACAGAGTTGGCCTATTGCTGAGTCTGTAAACCACTTACCTTCTGCCTAGATTACCCTTCTTGCATAGACTGGTGGTCCTCATCTTACAATCATTTGTTTAGTGACCATTCAAAGTTACAACGGCACTGACTGAAAAAAGTCACTTGTAACCATTTTCCACACTTGTGACTGCTGCAGCATCCCCCCCCGGTCACGTGATCGAAATTCGGACGCTTCGCATCTGGGATGCATTTATGACGGTCGCAGTGTCCCCAGAGTCACGTGATCAACTTTTGCATCCTTCTGAGAAGCAAAGTCAGTAGGGAAGCCAGATTCATATAACAACTGGGTGACTAACTTAGTAACTGCAATTTGATTCACTTTACAACCGCAGCAAGCAAGGTCATAAAATGGGGCGAAACCCACTTAACTATCTTGCTTAGCAGCAAAAGCTTTGGCCTCAGCTGTGGTTGTGAGATGAGGACTATCTGCATCCATCAAGTTCACCTTTCTTGTTGGAGAGTCCTCGGTGCTCTCTGAGCGTGGTTGTTCGTTTATAGACGTTTTGTTACCAGACTAGGTAGCATCTTCAGTGCTAGAAGGGAGTGGGATTTCTTTTCTGTTTATATACAGTACTTATCCTGTCGGTGTTGTTTTCTCCTTGGAAAATTCTTGATTGTTCAGAGAGGAGGATCTACCAAAGATCGCTCTGATAGATCCATGAACAAAGAGCAAACCCCACTCCATGGTGTTTCTGGGTTTAGATAGCAGTCAAGATCACTTAAGTCGGAAAGAGCCATCCCTCAGCGGAACTACTGTGTCTTTCACCATATTAGAGTTAAGTACCATAACTTGACCGATCCGTTTTTAGAGATCAGAGGAGGAAGGAAGCAGGAAAGAGGACATTTAAAAAAGGGGATGTGGAACCATGGCCTTCCCATTGACGCTGCAACACGTAATGAACTCCTCACTCCTATCAGTGGCTGATAACTGGACTTCAAATTAATCCAGGATAGATGTAATCTTAGATAAATGAAACCAGAAGTCAAGGTTTCCCAAGTAACCTATTTCCCTTTCTCCCTAGCTCTCCCCAGCCAAGCAGAAGAACAACATGACCTCCAATTCTCCTCGCTCTCAAAGGCTTTGTCCATGGAATACCAGCATCTCGGCTTCATTCAGCAGAGCAGCATCTCCCAAGCAGACAATCAAAGAGGCAGACAGGAATCTCTAACCTAGCTTTTGATAGCTTAGTAGTCATTGCCCTTGGCCTGGGGGAGTCCTCTTCTACCCCTGAAGCAGCCTGTCCTTCTTAGGACTGGGCCTCAAAATCATGCTCACTTCTTCCCCTTTTTTTGTATCTTGGTAGCCTACTCTGTTCCTACACCCTAAACCTGGCTTAGGCATCTTGGTGGTAGCTGCATCCCTGACTTTAAATCCATGTATGTGAAAGCTCCCCTCAAAATAGAGAATTGTCTTGCTAATCTCCACAGGTGAGCAATCTTCTAGTTCAGCATTTTGGTTCCAGTAAAAACCAGCCGTATGCCTCCTCACAACAGGCAAGAGATGACATTCTTTGTCCTTGCCATGTGGTGCTTGGGTATACCTTTATATACTAAGGTCCATTGGGTTACTGTCTCTACCAATGTTTTTCGGCTTTAAGATGTGTGCATCTGAATCTCCAAATTTCCCCAGCCGTCATTAAAGTTTGCCAGGTTTGAGAAATCCTTTCCTATACCAATAGTCATCTCAGAATCCTTTGGGAGTGAAAATAAATCCTCTCAGCAGAAGAAGGGGATTTAGGAGTAAAAAAAAACCTCAGCCTAAGGAGGAGAAGACAAATCGAGCCCAATAATAACTGAACACAATCGTGATCCAGGAACATCAGAAAGAGGGGAACAGAAAACTGGAGGAAATGAAATGGCGTTTCCTAGAAAAAGGAAATGGCATGGCTATCTGGAACCTAGCACATTTTCTTGCAGATCCTACCTGTCATAGCAATCATCCATCAAAGAATCGTAGCAGTGTGCATGGTGTCAGAGTATGTGTAAGAGGCATGTGCGGGCTAATAATACAGATAGTCTTCGACTTACAATAGTTCATTTAGTGACCGTTCAATGGCACTGAAAAAGTGACTTATGACCATTTTTTACACTTATGACCATTGCAACACCCCCTTGCTCATGTGATTTACATTTGGAAGCTTGGCAACCGGTTCATAATTATGACGGTCGCAGTGTCCCAGGGTCACATGATCAGCTTTTGCTACCTTCTGACAAGCAGAGTCAATGGGGAAAGCCAGATTCACTTAACAACGGTGTTACTAATTTAAAAACTGCAGTGATTCCCTTAACGACTGAGGCAAGAAAGGTTCAATGGGGCAAAACTCACTTAACAAATTTCTCACTTAGCAACATAAATGCTGGGTTCCGTTGTGGCCGTTAGTCAAGGACCACCTGTAATGAAGTAGAAACAATACAGCAGGTGCAAATTGTTCTCACAGGTTGCACTTGCAAACGAATTCTTATTTTCTCCCATACAAACGCACTCTGATGGGGAAATCTTTAGAACAAAACACATGATGACTTGCAAAGAAATACTGGAAAGAGGAAACTGTGGTTGACCTAGCAATGCCTGGAGAATCGGAAACCGCAAGTAACTTCTGACACTGGAAGAGTCAGATGAGGAACTTCCACAGCCTAGAAACTGGAGAGTAGTTTTTCTGCCTATATGTACCTACCTACATCTATCCTATTTGTAATTCATGAATGTCAATAAAGTAGTATTTAACTGTGTCTATGTGCAAGGGGATGGGAGGTTGTGGCGAGGATAGAACACCATTTTCTTGAGGCTTCCTATCAGACTCCACAAATAATCATTAAAAAAACAACTAACATGGGAGGGGAAAAAAAGTTCTTAAATTATTTTCCATGGAACTATTTTTTATTATTTATTTATCTGGCCAAGCTTTTTTTTAAGCATCCATCTGGTCTAAAGCAATGCACTCCATACTATCATTTCGTAGCCCTGCAACTTTACTCTGCTGAAAATTAGGCTTCAGGATTGCATGGAGGATCAATAATAGGTGGAGAAAGAGGAAGTATGTTGGTAAATATGCACACACAGACACACACACACTCCTCAAATAGATTATTATCTGACTTCTCCAGGACAAATAAACTGAGAGTGTGGCTAAGTATTCCATAACAGCAGAACATGCCTGCCAGACCTGCCACAATTAAACCTCTAAATAGAAACAATCCTTGGCTCAGTTTGTTGAGAAATATATAGTTTTATTAGAGGCCAAGTATATTGCAGTAGTGCAAAGCCAGAACTGAGAATCACATGCCAAAATCCCTAAGTTCTACTTTTCTCTCCCTTAACTATCTCTCATTGCCCATCCCAGTATCACCAATCGGGTTCAGGCAAGATGTTTTTGTAACAGTCCAAGTGCAGTTTAGTATGCGGCTCTCTCCTCCTTCCAGTTGGATGACCTTGAGGCAGCATCTCAAGGAGATGCAGCACTTACTTTTGTTTCCCCAAGCATTTTCCCTTTCATTCTCTCTTCCCACAGTTCATGGCAGCCTGTTACTGCATAGCAGCGAAGCACAAGCAAGAATGAGGTGGTAACTGACAATGCCATTAATTTAATAATGAAATCTCTAAAATATTTTTTTGTTTTACAAATGTTTATGGCTTTAAAGCAAACTGACTAGCCTATTTTTCAGCACATCTATATGTTCATTGCTTTTTTCATCTACAAGTAAAACATTCTGGTGCCGTTGATTCCTTTGCTAAAGTATATCTTTAACTCCTGTGGAACTCTTAAATGAGAGATCATTGGCTTAACACACACTGAACCGTATACCTTAAACTGTAAATATAGATGCTATGCTAAAAAATATTTAAAATCAAGTTTGCCTTATATTTGAAACAGGAACATAACACAGAACACGTGCATTTTTTTCTTCTTTACTGTATATAGAAGAGACAAAAGTCCAATGTAATGTATTACCCTATGATTATTTAATCATTAAAAAAGCAGCAGATGATGGGTTCAAAAATCATAGGAAGCAAAGTCACCATTTCTCACAGCTTCATATATTGTGGTTTGCAGGAATTTCCAGGACAACAATTTATAGCCTCCAGTTCTGTAGAATCAATCTACAAGAAAGTTTAAAAAAGAAGTTGGAGTAAACAGGAAGTCCAAGAAACTGCTGGCCCTGCTTTGAATATTCAGTGCCACATTTGAATTCAGAGTATTATATTAAAAGCAACAGTTTTCTTAAATGTCTTCTACTTTAGCAGCTTTATACTGAATTGGGGAAATGCCTTTGTTAAATAACCAGGAGTCAAGTCCTTGCTGCTTTGGAGCCATTCACACAGAATTCCACACTGTACTCTTTAACAGGATTTAATTTTTGATGCAGGAATAAAGATTCCCCCTCCCCAAATGCTTCCTTTACATTTATCACTAACCTGCCACCCAAGTTGTATTGTAAAATGGGAACCAGGAATCTGGGCAGAGGGCCCAGAAAAATCTCACAATCCTTAGTGTTATTTCCTGAGCCTGCTGAAGTGTTCAGCAGGCTCAGAAATGTTGCAAAGGGTCCTGGGCAGACCAAAAGCTGCCTGGGACCAGACTGGCTGTCTCCAGCCTTGTGCGCATGTGCAAGGCACGAAAACAGCCAGGTTTTCATTGGCTGATGCTGTCCGGTGCAAGGACGCTATAAAAGGCCTGCATGCCATTTTTTCTGTTGCTGTTTTGTTGGAGTGATCAATAAAGAAGACTTGCTGTTAGTATGAGAGCGAAATAACAAAATCACAGTGGCGACATCATATAAAGAAAACCTGTATAAGATGGTTTACAGATGGCATCTCCCTCCGGCCAGATTAGCCAAAATGTATAACGGATATTCATCAAAAGTGGAAAGCAATGGAAGTACCAAGGGGAGAAGCACTAATAAAGAAAATGATGTATTGCACAAAACTAGATAGGATAACTAAAAGATTAAAAAATCAAGAAGAAACAGAATTTTATCGAATATGGAATAAATTTTATAGATGGAGGGGAAAAAATGGAGGTCACAGTAAAGAGATAAATTGAGACAGAGACTAGAAATGTATAGTTGTATATAGGTATATTATATGTAATTAATGTACAATATGGACTGAGATGTCAGTCAAAAATGATTTACCATGTTCAATGTTTTTAATCCTTTTTTTTCTTTGTACTTAATAAAAGTTTTAAAAAAATAAAGAAAGAAAGAAGACTTGCTGTTTACACTACTCGTTTCCTCGCAATGCCTTTTACCTGCGAATCTAACAGTGGCAACAAAGGGGGGATCGCTGAAAACAAGACAAACAATAAAAGAAGATAGGACTCACCCAAGAAGTCCTGAAGCCTGGGAAAGTTCAGCGTCTAGCATCGCGACTCTACCTGCCAGTACAGCATCGCTGGAGGTGAGCTCAGTAGAAGGACCACTTCCCAAATAAAAGGTTTGCAGTGAAGGCATTAATGAGGATTGCAGAAGGCTAAGATGTCTAAGATTGGCCGGTTGTCAGACTTTGATATTTCTCACCCGGAACGTTGGAATTCGTACATGGTACGGGTGGAGAATTACTTCAGGGTCAATTAGATAAGAGAAGACGGCCTTAAAGCGGCTACCCTGCTATGTGTCTGTGGACAGGAAACATTTGACATAGCAGAGAATCTGGTGGCCCCAGCGCTTTTGGAGTCAGTGTCTTATGCAGACTTGAAGAAGATGCTGAAAGAACATTTCCAGCCTAAACTTTCTGTGATTGATTGGTGACACGCGTTCGAGCAGAGGGACCAGAGGCCTGGTGAGTCTGTTGCGGACTTTATTGCTGCCTTAAGGCAAGTAGCAAGGCCTTGTGAATTCAAGGACCTAGAAGAGAGGCTGCGGGATCGTTTTGTTTGTGGCCTAAGGAGTCGTGAGCTGCAGCAGAAGATCTTCGCCAAGGAAGATGTTTCATTCCAAGATGCCTTGAGAGAGGTTGCAGCTGAAGAAGCAGCGGGCGGCGCTGTGAAGGCCTTGCGGCTCGCCAGGAACCCTCCAGCCCCCATGACTGTCCATCAAGAGGTCGCTCGAGAAGATCCAGAACAGGATCCTGAAGAGGAGGTGGATAGGCTGCACCTGTCAATGGAGAGAAGGCCAAAGGAGCGTCCAGACAAGGCCCCAGCATCTCCTCAGTGTTTCAGGTGTGGAGGACGCCACAAGCACGCTGACTGCCAATTCTGCTCTGCCATTTGCCGGGCATGTGGAAGGCAAGGCCACATTGCCTCTGTCTGTTTGGGTCGCCAGAAGGTCCAACCTCGGGAAGAATTGCTTCAGAAAGTTACCAGGGTCCCCAGCCAATACAGGGTGGGTTTCTGTGCATTGCGCAGGAACATTTTGACAACAGGGACACACAAGCCTCTTAAGAAAAAACTTCACATTGATGTGAAGTTACAAGGGGTTCCCTTATCGATGGAGTTGGACACAGGGTCCGCTCTATCGATCATTTCGCATGACACCTTCAAAAGGATTTGCAGCAGTAGTGGCCTTCAAGTCAAACTCAGGCCATCGAACTTAATTCTCACTGACTTCCAAAATTCCAGAGTCAGCGTGAAGGGGGAGGCTACGCTCAAGGTACAGCGTAGGGCTTTTGAAGGCCTACTAGATGTGGTGGTAGTTGGGGGTGATCGCACAAGTCTCATTGGACTCGATTGGTTCAAGGCCCTTGGGATCCAAGTGACTTTGCTTCACAGCCTGCAAATGTTAGGCCTTGCAGAAGTCTTCAAGGAGTTTGCTGATGTGTTTAGCACAGAGCTTGGTTCATACCAGGGGCCTCCCATTGCCCTACACTTAGACCCAGCTATCACACCCATTAGGATTAAGCCCAGAAAGGTGCCTTTTGCTCTCAAAAGCAAAATTGATGCAGAGCTGGACAAGCTGCTCCAGCAGGGCATCTTAGAACCTGTGGACTCTAATCCATGGGAAACCCCCATTGTAATGCCTCTAAAGGCTAATGGAGAAGTCTGAATTTGTGAGGACTATAAATGTACACTGAACAAAGTGCTGCAACAGCATGCATATCTAGTGCTGTGGTAAGTCACATTCTGGCCTCTCTCAAGGGGGGGGGGCGAACTTTTGCAAAACTTGATTTGGCACAGGCCTACCAACAGTTACC